AGAGAGAGAGAGAGAGGAAATAAAAGAAAAACTTACTCTTGGGCCGGGATGTAGCTTGGTGGTAGAGGATTTCCCTAGCATGTACAAAGCCCTAGGTTCTATGCCCAGTACACACACACACACACACACACAGAAAGAATGAATGAAAACAATAAACAAACAAAAAACACAGTTTGCTTTCCCTGCAAACATGTGCGTAAAAGTTGTCAATTTACATAAACTTTCTGGTAGCTCTCTAGCACAGAGAGAAGAAAACCATACTGTGTGCACCTTAGCTCTTATCAGTGCCACCAGCAGCACAGCTGTGGCTCAGGGACCCAGAGCAAGAAGAAATCGAGTCAATGGGCCCAGCTACAGAATACACAAAAAGATGTGGACTACTAAGAGCAGACTAAAACTCATCAGGTACTCCTTTAAGACAAGAGGAACAGTATGAATTCCTGCCTACAAACAGTAGGTAGAATGAAGGCAGGACTTGAAACTCTGACAATCTACATTCATTAAGCCTTATTTATTACTTAGAGCTTTAGCAATTCATCTCAACAGAACAAGATCAAACTCAACAAGGGAGCAAAGAAGCAGTGCCAGCTCTTCCAGCATCTATGCAGAACATGGATGGTCTCTACTTAATCACTGTGATTCCCAGAGGCTGCCATTCCTCTATCACTATCTCATTCCTCTAGGTGAGCAAAGAACCTGTAGAAGCCCTGGTCACCAGGTAAATAGCACTTAGCTGGACATGGAGGCAAATGTCTATAATCCCAGCTACTTGGGAGGCTGAGGCAGGAAGATCATAAGTTTGAGGCCAGCCTGGGCAAGTTGGCAAGACCCTGTCTTAAAATGAAATTTAAGGGGCCAGGGATTTAGCTCATTGGTTCCGTTGCCTGCCTCGCAAATGCAAGGTCCCAAGTTCAATCCCTGATACCCCAAAAAATAAAAAATAAAAAATTTAAGGGGGAGGGATGCAGCTCAGTAATAAAGTATTTGCCTAGCATGTGCAAGGCCTTGGCTTGATCACCAGCACTGCAAAAAAGAAAACAACTGCTGGGTATGGTGGTACATGGCTGTAATTCCCAGCACTTGGGAGACTGAGGAAGGAGGATCGCCAGGCATTTTCAAAGCCAGCCTGGGATACACAGTGAGTTCAAGACCAGCCTTAACTACAGAGTGAGATCCTGTCTCAAAAAAAAGTATAAGCAAATAAATAATAAATAATCAAAACAAACAAACAAAAATCAGTGTACATTCCCTCCACCCACAACTATTAGCAGTTGCAGAAATAACCAACTTGAAAGGTTAGCAAGTAAAGCGAGTATAGTTATCACTGTTCCAGGCTGCTTTCATCCACCAATGCCAAGACATCTTCCACACAGTACATTCCTCTAAAGTCAGAACCATGCTCACTTCACAAGTGGGTAATTTGAGAGCCCAGGTGACAGATGTGCCACAGTTACAGAGAGTTTAATGGAAGATATAAATAAAACTTGAGATCTTGATTCCCACTCTCTTCAACTGCTTTCTGTACATACACCATTCTAGTTTCTTTAAATCTGACCTTAAGACTTGATAATAGGGGCCGGGGATTTAGCTCAGTGGTTTCGCCACCTGCTGTGCAAGCACAAGGACCTGAGTTCGATCCGCAGTACCAAAAAAAAAAAAAAAAGACTTGATAATAAATTTCCTTTGATGGATTACCCTAAATGGTAGATCCATAGCACTCTAATAAAAACTATAGACCAAGTGATAGCTCAGTTGAAGACAGACTTTTTAGTCTGCTCATTCGGAAATGACAGCAACTACCACACATCTGAGGAACCAGGAGGTCTTTGGCATTTATATTTTAATATGACAGTTTATTTTAACACACGTCTCTACCCATACTCATTCTCTCTGGAAAGAGGAGCTACTCATGCCAGGTGCTGCTGGATGGCTTTAAAAGGCTGTCCTCTCTACCTCGTAACCTGACACTCATTTGCTGACACCCAGCTCTGTCACTCAAGAGCTAAAGTCAATGCTTCAGAACTCAAGCCTCATGTCAAGCCTGGGTCTCCAGGCCACCCCCTAACCAAGTGGAGCAAAACCTAGAGGTCAGCTTGGCAGATGGAATTACACACCACGTTCACACTCTCTGAGGGATGTTCCAGGAAAGCATGTCATTCCACCTGTTCTACTTTTAGATCTCTACCCAAATCTCACAAGCGGCATTTGATGATCAACACAAATGGACTCATGGACAAGATGTGGGCAGAGATCCCAAGTACACCTGACCTTACTATAAAAATGGTAAGAGCTGCTAAGGCCCTGGAGCTGAACAACTAGGTTCAAATCCTGATTCAATCCCTTACAGGCTTGGAAATTTTTATTTAACCTCTTTGTGCCTCATGTTCTTCGTTTATCAAATAAGGATATTTCTCATTAGTATATGAGGACAAAATAAGATAAGTCGTGAAATGCCCATGACAACCCGACCTGGAAAATTAGGAAGTGTTCAGTAAATGTTATTATTAATAGCATGAGGGGAAAGAAAAGAGAAGCATGTTGTTTTTATTCTGTTCTGTATACTACGTTTCTACGTAACTACTTAAGTTACTCTGATTTGATTTCCTAATATGAAATTATAGTATGACATTTTTCAAAACATTTGCTCTGTACAGCATTAAGCCTACTTCATGATTACTATATTAAAACAACAACAGGGCCGGGGATTTAGCTCAGTGGTTTTGCTGCCTTCTGTGTAAGCTCAAGGACCCAAGTTCAATCCCCGGTACCAGAAAAAAAAAAAAAAACCAACAACAAAAACACCAATATCAGTAATCCCATGGGGAAAAGCCTCAAACTTACAGTTAAGGCTGCTACCTAGCAATTCAGGAAGAGCTCCATCATTCACAGGCCTCCACAGTGGTGTAAACAAGGTGACTCAACTTTGGGGAAGTTTGCCAGCCAGCATTAACTTCAAAATGAACCTAAGAGTCATCCTTACAGAAAAGACCAACAATTTACATATATACACACACACACACACACACACACACACACCCACACACACAGGCCCATTTTCTAAGGACAAGCAAGCCCCTGGTGAGGTAAAATTCTTACTTGGCTCTATGGGGGAGGGGGGAGCTTTTCTAACTGCTAAGGCAGCAGTAGCAAAATCAGAGTAGACATTTGATAAATATTAGTTGGCATAACTTGATTTAAAGCAGAAGGGACTCGGTATTTTGAAAAGAGTACAGCTAGACTAAATTAGAAAAGGGGTCACCCCAAGTAAAAAGGATGAAAAACAACAAAAGTGTTTTTTAAAAATTAAATCCAAGATAGACGACCATCACCAGAGCAATCCACCTAAAAACAAACACAAACAATTTCTCTAGGTCACTCACCTGCCAAAAATTAGAACATACTCCCCATAGCCTACAGGTGATAGTGAAAATGTCTCAAGGTCATGGAGCCCCCGCCTACCTTTCCATTCTTGCTCTGTCAGCAGGCCAGATGGTTTCCTTACCTGTTCCAGGGAGGAAACAACCAGGCTCACTTCAGTTGTGTCATCAGCGTCTATCACAGTACCCAGCACAAAGCAGCTGCTCAGAAAATGTTTGCTGATTCAACAGAAATGTGAATACTTTCAGGCCCTGCTCCTGAGAAGCCCCTTTCCCACTCACCTGACCAGCCTGTTAGGTGAGTGCCACTGTTGAAAGACCACTGCACTCCCTGCACTGTGCCAACCACAGCACCAGAACATCTGGTCCTGCTATTCTCATCTCTCACTCTCAGTTCTGACCGAATTCCACCACTCCAGATCTCTACCACCCAGATGTTCCCTGTTTGTATGTCTTATCTACCCTACTAACTTGACAGGGTCTTGAAGAAGGCAAAATTAATTATCTGTGGTCAGACAGACCTAGTTATACTGCTTTGAGAAAAAAGTATGTAAAATGCTTGGAACAGGGCCACAGACATAGTATGTACTTCCTTAGGCCAGTTCCACCATTGTTCACCTCTTCAGGGCTTTGGGTCTTTCACTGACAAAATGAGTGACAAGAAATCCTCTAAACTGGACACGGTGGCACATCCCTAGAACCCCATGTAATCCCACCTATTTGGGGCTAAGGTAGGAGGACAGCAAGTTCAAGGCCAGCCTGGGCAACTTCATGAGACTCTGTCTTAAAATAAAAAGTCAAAAGGGCTGGGGATGTAGCACAGTGATAGAACACCCCTAGATTCTATTTCTGCTATTGAAAAAAAAAGAAGTCCCCTGCTAGGTGGCTTTTCATGAGGAGCAGGAGCATCTGGGAAGTCTCTAGGACCTTTCTTAGCACACAGGAGTCAGTCAAGAGCTCCAGTCAAGAGTCACCTGGAAGCTATTGTCAGAGAGCCCCATGCTGGGTCTATAGAAGGTATTCAATAAAGGTCTACAGAGCTGAGCATGTAGCATGACCCTGTAGTCCAAGGTACTTCAGAGGCTGAGGCAGGATTGCTTAAAAATAAATAAAAAAATAAAACAACAGATGTAGGGAGCTCAACAAAAAATTTAGAGAAATGTATTCTAGTATCAATTCGGATGGAAACTTTTCCAGTCATCTACTCAATGAATATTTACCTGGCTTGCTGCTATGTACCAGGCTTTGCTCAAGGTCTGCATACAACAGTAAACATAGTCCTTGCCTTTAAAGGGAAGGCAGACAATCAGGGAAAGAGACAAGAGTATAGAAGCTTGGTGTTAAATGCTATGAAGAAGAAAAAGCAAGCAAATGAGGGCCAGCTAGGGGGTTGGATGAGAGCTGTGGAAGGGGAGACCTGAATACTCGGGAAGCTGTGTGATGAGACTCAGCCGCCCCTACACAAACTGTACCGTCTTTCCACTGGTCTCTAGCACCAGACACCTGGCTCCTAGGGCCCTTCTCAGCTCAGACCATGCGCGAACTCTGCTGAGCCAGCAATTGTGAGCATGTTCTTACCCGCCACTTGAGCCCCATAGGGAAGTAAAGAGATTATGGTCCTACCGCAACTGGTCTGTTCCCCAGGAAGTTCAGATCGCTGTTCTCCCCAAACAGGTAACCCTCAGGGTGTGTGGAGTCAAACTTCTCTCCTCCCATGATGAAGTGGCTGGCAAAATAACTGCCTAGACAGGGAAAAACAGAAAAAAATCAAACATGCAGAAAGCAGTCAGACTAAACCAAACAAAAATGATGATTTAAAAAAGAAACCAGGTATGGTGGCGCACGCCCGTAATCCCAATACTTGGGAAGCTGATGCAGGAGGATCACTGTGAGTTCAAGAGTAGCCCAATTTAGGCTGGGGATTTAGCTCAGTGGTTCCACTGCTTGCCTCGCAAGCACAAGGACCTGAGTTCAATCCCTGGTACCAAAAAAAAAAAAAAAAAGAGTAGCCCAGCTTGGACTACACAGCAAGACACTGTCTCAAAAAACCTGAATGAATGAATGAATGAATGAATGAATGAAAAGCTAACCCCTCAAACAAGTAATTAGAGCAATTTCTAACCCCAGGGTTGTTTTCCTTTACTGATTTGGGACAATGGGACAAAAATAAACAAAATCATAGCAGGGAGAATCCAAGATAACAAACATAAATTAGATCATTGTTTTTCTTTTAAGGTTCTTGAGTCCCTATCATGATCTGTCTAAAAATATCATCAGGGGCTGGGGATTTAACTCAGTGGTTTCGCAGCCTGCTACACAAGCGCAAGGACCTGAGTTTGATCCCCGGTGCCAAAAAATAAAAAATAAAATAAAATAAAAATAAAAATATCATCAGCCAAAAGGCCAGAAGGCCCCACTGTGCCTATTAATAAACATAGACATGCATTTTTTTCCTGACTTTTCCCTTAAAACGCAAAGTGGTTAATCCATGTATTTGGGATTTACCTACAGGTATCAGCATGTTTACACACAGATCATCTTTGCCTACATGCCAGCTTGTATCAACATACAGAAGTCTCAGTATCCACCTACTGCTACTTCTGTATCTCTAGAATCCTCTATGATGAAGGCTCTTCATGCTTTAACTTGCTGCAGAATATGACTGCTTCTTAGGAAAATAGGAATTTAAATTGCATAGCTCTGCCTGGCTTTAGTTACCAGTTACCAGACTATGGTGTTTAACAGGGGAGAGTTCAGTACTCTGGAAGGATAGACACACTCACTCTCAGCCTCACATTCATTAACAGAGCTAAGAGCCAGAGCTGCAGGGACATCAGCTGAGGCAGGTCCTCTCTGCCCCACCTTTACCAACCAGGGGCAGCGACATTTTCCCTATAATAAAGAGGTGAAATCAGCAGCAGGGGTTAGAATTGCCCTCAGCCTCATCCAGACAGACCAAGGAACTGTCCCAGAATGTCATGCCACTGATAAGTCACCAGAGGAGGTTTAGGGACGTGGACAGTTCTACCTAGGGATACATTTTAACCTTGATGACTACACAACTATCTCTTACTCCAAATTTCTATAATCTGATTCTAAGGTAAACTGTCCAAAGGAAAGGGTTCATACCATAATAAACTTTTATCAATGCTCTCATACATCCCAACTCTCCAGCTAATACAAAGACCTTATGAAAGTACAAAAGGCTTATTTATGTGTTATATGGCTAGCATATTCTAAACTCCTTTCAACAATTTTTGTTGAAGATTTACAACAAACAGAGCAAAATGGAATTCAATACTTTCAGCCCGTGGAGAAACCAGAGGAGAGTAGATAAAGAAGACAATTCTAACAGAAAAACTGAACCAAACATTGCTTTTCTTTTTTACTTTCAAAACATGGAGGTTTCTTTTGGAAACACATATTAAAACAACGTGGATCAGATCACTCACCACACAGTGAGGCATTTCTTTTATTTTTTGGTACCGGGGATCGAACTCGGGTCCTCGCGCTTGTGGAGCAGGCGGTGGAAACACTGAGCTAAATCCCCGGCCCTAGTATGGCAATTCTGGAATTAACAATCAGGAAAACATTCTTTGGAAGTGATGGCAGCCCAAATCAAAGCTACCACCGAGGAACTCTTGAAAGTTACCCATCAAAACTTAAAAGTACAAAGAGCAGCCATCTGTAGTGATACAGCAGGCAATTCATCATTTAGGAAAGCTTCAGTATCAATTATTTATGTCTTGCACTTGTTATCCCTATTTTCCAAGTGCATAATTTATAGAGAGGGGCGGTGCCTAGTTGCCTTCAGTTGTTTTTTTTTAAAGCAACCTTCTCAAACAACCTAAACCACTTACTGTTGAACCTTAGAATATATTTTCTGTGCACTAGGAAATATATATTTACGGTACATTACATAAAGTTAGAAAAGTTGAAGATTTTCCATCAATGGGTAACTTGCTTAGTGATGACTAAGGAGCAGAGGGAAGCAGGTTTGGGGTCTAGAGTTAGCAGCTTGAGTTCAGTGTTGGACTACTGAGTTTCCAGTACCTGTGGGCAATCAGGCGAGAGATCTGGGGGAAGAAGTCCACAGGCAACTGGCTTAGAGTGGCAGTGACTGAACCTAGCAAAGGAAGAGCACATGCTCAAGTCCCTTAAATGTCATATTATTTGCATATAGCCTAGGCACATCTTCCCATATACTTTATTTCTTATTTTTTGTTTCTTCTGAGGCAGGCTCTTGCTATATTGCCTTGAACTCACTATGGAACCCAGGCTGGCCTTAAACTTTTGACAATCCTCCCACCTCAGCCTCCTGAGTACTGGGATTACAGGCATGCACCACAACACCCAGCTTCCCATATACTTTATATGATCTCACAATACCTAATATAATCAAATGCTATGCAAATAGTTATATTGTTTAGGGAATAAACATAAAAAAGTTTGTACTTTTTTGTTCAGTATAGACACAATTCTTTTTCCTGAATACTCTTGATCTACAGTTAAATGAATCTGTAGATGCACAGCCCATGGATATGGAAGGCTATTTTGAGAACTGATAAGTACTGTGAGGGGAAAGTATGAAGCATTTATCTTGCTTTTCCTATATGAGCTGCACTTCTGTATGAGTGACCAATTAACAGATGAGGGGAAGTCTCTTTGCAATGTATTCCAGCTAATAAACACAGAAGGACTGACAGAGTATCAGTTATACTGCATACCCCTTAACAAATTAATGAATCATCAATCACCAATTTAACGACCAGATATGAGCTTAGTGATGGAAAATACAACAAAGTCACATTGCCAAATATGGATGCTGTTAAAGCTCTCAGAAAACAAATTTGATCAAACTGATGAATCTAACCACCAACTTACAGGAAATAAAACAGAATATGATTAGTGATAGTTCAGGGAGGCAATCAGCAAAATTTATTTCCTCAAAATTTGGGGATAACTACTAGACAAATGACCAGGTTTCCTCAATAAAAATATAAGAGGTATGATTTTTTTAAAAAATAAGGTTTGGCTAGGCATGGTGCCACATGCCTGTAACCCCAGTACTTGGGAGGCTGAGGCAGTAGGATTGCCACGAGTTCAAGGCCAGCCTAAAGTACACAGTGAGTTCAAGGCTAGTCTAAACTACATAGTGAGACCTTGTCTGAACACCTCCCCCCCAGCCAAAAGAAAAAAAAGGTAAATAGCTGGGTATTGTGGAGCATGCCTATAATCCCAGCACTCAGTTCTTAGGAGGCTGAGGCAGGAGAATTGCTGCAAGTTTGAAGCCAGCTACGTACTATGTATGTAAGCTACATAGTGAGTTCAAGGCCAGCCTGAACTCCAGTGAGAGCCTGCTCAAAACAAACAAAAAATAAGATCAATGTTTAAATACAAATAAAAATTTATTATAGTAAAATAAACATTGCCACTAATCCTCCTTAAATTGCTCCCCCTTGCTTTGAACACACTTATCCCATCATTTTTGCCACTTTCTGAAGCAGTTCTAGAAGTCCTCTTTCATGTCTTTTTGTGGCTGCCTTGATGTCCTGGATTGATTAAAAATGTTTATAGCAATTTCTGCCAAATAAAAACATCACAGTGGGTCCTCATCTACCTTATCCAACAGATCTGGCACTGTGGTACTGCTGCCTCTTCCCCAAAGTCAAGATGACCATGAAAGGGAAATGTTTTGAACCAATTCAGGACACTGAGGCAGCCACAATGGCACAATTTGCAAGGAGAGAAGCTACTACAACAGAAAACCCAAAGCACAGACTTTATTTTAATCAGTGCTTTACCTCCACATATCGTATAGTATGCAATCAGTAAAGACAAGGACCTTCCTGGTTCCAGATATTATTGTCCACGCTCCTTTGTTGGTTCTTCTAAAATAATTGTTGAAAAATAAAATACATGGAAATCGTGGACTTTAAAAGCATATAGGGCCAAGGATTTAGCTCAGTGGTTTTGCTGCCTGCTGTGCAAGCACAAGGACCAGAGTTCGATCCCCAGTACCAGGAAAAAAAAGCATATAGGTTCACAGAAGCACTATTCACAATAGTCAAAAGGTAGAAATAAGCAGGGTGTGGTGGTACATGCCTGTAATCCCAGCACTTGGGAGTCTGAGGCAGGAGGATTGCTGCAAATTCAAGACCAGCCTGGGATATACAGTGAGTTCAAGGCCAGCCTGAATTACAGAGCAAGACCTTGTCTCAAAAAAAAAAAGAGGTAGAAATAATTAGAGCCTATCAACAGATGAATGGATAAACAAATGTAAAATGTCCACACATTGGAATATTATTTATCCATAAAAAGGAATGAAGTACTTCTTTGCACTACAGTATGGAAGACTCTTGGAAACTTCAAGCTGAGTGAAAGAAGGCAGACCCAAAAGGTCAGAGTATATGATTCCAGGTACATGAAATGTCCAGATTTGGAAAATCCATAGGGACAGAAAGTAGCAGAGGCAGGGACGAATGAGAATTAACTGCTTAACAAGTACCTGATTTTATTTTGAGGTGATGAAATGTTTAGAGTAGCACTTGTGCAACACTGAGAATGTACAAATGCCACTGAATTGTTCATTTAAAAATGGTTAATTTTAGTGCTTGCTTCGGCAGCACATATACTAAAAATGGTTGATTTTAGCTGGGTACCTGTAGTCCCAACTAATGGGAGGTTAAGGTAGGAGCCCAAGTTGGAGACCAGTTTGGGCAACATAGTGAGAACTCATCTC